CGGCTCCCTCAGCCAGTAAAGCGAGATGAGCGGCGCAACCCCAGAGTCAGACACGACTGGACCTAATGGTCAGGGGGCCCTTTACCTTTACATGTAAAATGTTTTATAAATTTAGTTAAATAAGCAAACAAATATTATATCTCTTCCGATTGATATTTTAGCTCAGAAGCACCAACACTTTAGAACTTCTTGCCTTTGATAACAAGGAAGTGCCTTTGCTGTACCTTGGAAGTTGAACAGAATCTGTTCTGGAAGTCTGTTCGATTTCCAAAACCTTCGAAAACCAAATCGTGGCTTCTGATTGGCTGCTGGAAGCTCCTGCAGCCAATCAGAAGCCGCAGAAGCCCCGTCAGATGTTTGGGTTCCAAAAGAACATTCACAAACCAGAACAATCACTTCTGGGTTTGCGATGTTCGGGAGCCGAAATGTCCAAGTTCCAGGGCATTTGGGATCCAAGGTACGAAGGTATTCTTTTAAGTGCCTGCTAAAAATGTTTCTGTTCTGGTAAGACTATTTGGGTGTGTAGAAGCTAACATGCATTTTAATCTGTTTTTAGCTTTTTGGTTTGATTTTAATTACGTTTTGATTTTTTTAAAAAAAACAACAACCTGTTTTATCATTGTTTTTTAGAGGTTCTCTTTACAAAAAGGCAGTATATAATTTTTGTTAAATAGATAAAATTAAAAACAAGCACCATGGGTGAAGTGGCCCTTGCAATAATTTCATTATCCTTATTTTAAAAATGAATAAATTCTTGCCTTGAAACTTGGAGTAACCTGGGGAGTTCGGATGAAAAACAGCTTTTCCATTAAGACTTTGCCCTAGAAGACTTCAACTCAAGTTCTACTTCAGCTGTGGACTCTCTGAAAGACCCTGGGCAAATCACGATCTTTGAATCAATTCCTTATCTTGAAAGTGGGAATAAGAATTTCCATTTATTTTTGGGTGGTGGGGGTTGTTGTGAAGGGAAATGACACACAGAGAATGCACTTATATTACAGCTGTAAGAGCAATTACAAGTCATTAATAATAGAAATGAGAAGATTTGATTTCTCTCAAACTGTCACACTGAGCAAGTTGTGCAAGCTCTGTTTTTTCTCCCTCTGTTGGATGGGGCAGGGGGTTAGCCTGGGATTTGTCCCAATAGATTTACCTGAATCCCCAAGAGGCTATGGGATCAGGAATCTAAGACATGCATTTCAGGGTTCCTTGAAGTGTCACAGAGGATGCTGGGGATCAAATTGCAGAATGATCATATGATCCCAGAGTTGCATCCCAGCATCTTCTGTGACACTGCATGAATTCCTGAAGTGTACTCCTCAAATTGCACATCACTCCCCATCAGCACCCTTAAAAATATTACTTCCCTGAAGTATTGTTTGTGAAATCTGGCCAGCCTAGGGGACTTAATAATACATCTTTATGTAAGGATGACAGGTTGCAATTCCTGGTGTAATGGAACGGTTGTGTACATTGTGACTCTCTTCCTGGAAGAGAACTTTGTTTTTCCTCCGCCTCTTTTCCTTGCTGTTGAGATCCTTATCTTTGTTTCTGCCTTTTGTGTGTTTCCCTTCCTCGTGTACCTCCCTCCCTTCTGTTCGTGTCATTTTCCATTTTCTCTCTTTGCATGTCTCCATTCTTCTGTGTGTGACAGTTTTCTCATCTGTCCTCCCTCTGGCATCCCTTTTTACTCCCTCTCCCCACACTGCAAGCTTGCCATCATTTCCATCTTTTCCCTTCTGCTACTTTTCCTTTTCTTCTTTCTTTCTTGTGCTTGTTATGCCCCACCCCTTCCAACCCTTCTCTTCTTGTACCAAATAGAAGATGTCAAATACAGTTGTACCTCGGGTTACAGATGCTTCAGATTATAGACTCCACTAACCCAGAAATAGTACCCTGGGTTACGAACTTTGCTTCAGGATGAGAACAGAAATCGTGCTCCGGTGGTGCAGTGGCAGCGGGAGTCCCCATCAGCTAAAGTGGTGCCTCAGGTTAAGAACAGTTTCAGGTTAAGAACAGACCTCCAGAATGAATTAAGTTCTTAACCCAAGGTACCACTGTAATTCAGCTCTGCAAGCAACCTGCTTAAGCCGGTCCAAGGCCAAGAATGACCGTGTACCTTGGAGAATCAGTAGTCTCAGACCACCGGAATTTCTCCCACATTGGATGAAATAGTAAGCACTACAAGAACATCCCTGTGAATTGTGCCCAGTGCAATGCTTTCGCCATTGTGCAAACCATGCTTGAAGCTCAGGCTGATCATGATTGCTACGCTCCCTCTTCTTCATGCTTGCTCTCTGTAATATAACTGAAGAAAAAGCAGATAATTGCTGGAGTTTCAGAAGATGCTCTGTGTACAAAGCTGCCTTATACCATTGCTATCAGACATGAATCAGACTCAGAGAGGAAGAAAGAGGAAGTTGGTGTGTTCCAGCCTGAGCACTGACTTGTGTTCACGGAAGGGCAGTTTGAAATATATACACGACAGCAGTGGTTGCCTCAATCAAGGTTGAACTCAAAGAAGTGACTGCAGTTTTCACGATTCTTGCCAGTGCAAGCTTGATTCACAGCTCTAGGTCAGCTCTTGAAAGATCACCAGAGCTTGACTTTTCGACAGAACCATAATGAGTCATTTCTCCAGAAAGAATTGGGATATGTCTTCAGAGGTCCTTCTCCTGTTTCTTGCTTGAGAGAAATCTCCTGACAAAGAGTGTCTTAAGAGGGACAATCCACAGGCTACCATCTTACCCTTCGTTGTGAAATCAGAGGAGCCCATGCTGGTTTTCCTAATGACCCCTTGTGCCGTGCTGATGGACAAAGGAATCATTTTAAGAAAAATAAGTAGCACTAAGTAAGTAGTGATGAACTCGGAAAGGAAGTGAATCTAAACTATTGTTAAAAGTGCTTGCTTTGGTTGGATCTTTCTTGAACACGTAGGACCACAGGAGAATGAAGGAAGCTTTCGTGCTGCCAGCTAGAAATGTCTTTGATGTACAGGTATCAGGGTGGATAAAAATCAATGATTTTTTTAGAAATAATTTAAAAAATCAGATTTTTTAATTTAAATCAGATTTTTTTATTTAAATTAGATTTTTAAAATAAAATGCTTTTGGAGGAATTTTTCCCCCCTAAAGATAGTTTTCTATTTAAGTTACATTATAGTCCAAAGGCTATTCATCAGGAAATAAGGATTTGTTGCAAGTTTTGCATGTGTGCTAAAACTCAGTCTAAATTGTTTTTTTTGAAAAACCAACAACACGTTTAACCACATCAGTTAACAAACATGGATACAAATGCTATAATGTTATTGCTTTAGTTAAATAAATTGTTTAAATTGTTACTAAGGAAATGATTATTTTTCTCCTTCCAATAAAGTACAGCAGAAAAGTTGTCCAAATATAAACAGTTAACTTATTAAACCTTACAATAATTTCATAATTAACTGTCTATGTATTTCTAATAGTATAACCAACTCAGTAATTTTTGATATAACTGTAAAAACTACTCTGAAAAATTTATTATTCCAAAAATGAAACCTTACTCTGGTTGTAAATATTAAGATTATGCCTGCCAGAATGAGTCTTTCTGTAAAAAAAAAAAAAGATTTAAATCAGGTGTTACTGACTAGTGATTTAAATCAATTTGATTTAAATCAAATCCACCCTGGCAGGTATCACAGTATCTTGGACATGAAGTGTTTGTCAAGGGTTGGGGACTTGAGAAGTTGTAAGCCTTTCTCCTAAACAGTAAGAATTGTTGTTGAGCATCATATATTTCCAAGAAATGGCCATTAATATAAAGCAAAGTTTGGCTTCAGCCTAGAACAAGATTGCTTCCAGACGATCTGTTGATCAGACATTCATCCTGATTTATTGGTGGTGAGATTAGACAATGCTAGTTATTCATTGAGAATTCTGATTTGTTTTCAGGGAGCTTAGATGATGCTTCATCAAACAAATGTTTGGTTTTTCCAGTGTATTTTCCTGCCCCTTACCTTATTGCCAAAAATCTGATTTTGTGGGCAAAGTGGGTTTGTTCCAGAAGCGTTTTAAATCAACTTTCCTAGCACAACTTGAATTTGCTGGTATGTGATTGAATCCCACCTTAAAAGAGTGGCAGCCCAGAAGCGCCAAAACAGGAGGACAAGCACACAATCTTGCTGTATAAACACAGGCAGGGATACAAGTTTGTGGTTTTAAGATAAGGAGGTCTGTAGTTGGCTGAGTCTAGTAAAACTAAAAACATTTCGTTTCTGGTTTGATTTCTACTGATCATACACATGGCCAAAAGCCTCCCAGCAGCAGAATGAGTTTTATGCAGGCTTCCAGAAAAGTTTATTTATGGGCAAGAAGCTTTAGCTGTTGAATACAGCATTTTAAAATTTAGGAGAAATGTAAAATGATTTGCTGACGAAAGCAAGTCCTTATCCACAGACCTTGGTGAAATCTATTGTCTGTGGCCTTGAGATGTGAATGAGGGGAATTGCCAATCACCATGTTTTTTTATGTGTTGACATCACTGGAATGCTACTGAGAACTCCATTTTGGGCAACATTGGTCAGGACAAGATTATACAAAATCATCTATGATGCAGAACATTCCACTAAGAGAGATTTATGTAAAAGATGAATGACTTCCTTTCTGCAGTTGGGTCCCTATTAACTCGTTCTGAATGAGCCAATGTTAAGAGTTGGGAGATACCTTTTAAAAAGTATGTTGTGCGAGAAAAGCTACTACTGTAAGCGTCATGGAGGAGGCAAAAACATAAGGGAAGTTAAAGCACACTGAGCGAATTTCTGAACCAAATGCCCTGGTGTCTTGTTTTCCTTTGGTACAGTTCCTGAATGATGTCTTCTAGGTTCTCGCAGGCTTTTACTTGTCTCATCACAGTGCTTAAAAACCGGCTGGTAAACAAAGCACATAATAGAATAATAGACTTGTAGAGTTGTAAGGGACCGTGAGGGATTATCTAATCCAACCCCCTGAAATGCAGGTATCTTTTGCCCAATGTGGGGCGCGAACTCACAGCTCTTGAGATTGAGTCTCATGCTGTACTGACTGAGCCATCTGAGCCGTAGCAAAGAAATAAGGTCCTATGCAAGAGTTAGCTAGAGTATTGGGGAGGCCTCAAAAGCTAATGTAGTGTGGAATCACTAGAGCAAGTGTCTGGAGCCTTTGGCCCCCCTGATGTTGCTGAACTACAACTCCCATCATCCGCGCTTGCTTGAGCTCATGGGAGTTGTAGTTTAGCAGCATCTGGCGGCTGAAGGCTCTCCGCAACTGAAATAGGGATTAAAAGCAAGTCTTGACTATAGCTTGTGGTTAGCAAGGCAGGAGCTTGACCACAAAGTCTGAGTTTAGATGACACACTAAGCCAAACCTTGGCTTTTAAGTGCTCTACAAATTAAAGCCATTTTGGTTTTATGATAGGTTGCAGAGCAGTTTAAAATTAAATCATTGCGCTTTTTAATATGTGCAAGGCTTGAAATTTCTGCCCACCTAAAACTGGCGATTGAGTTTCTAGCACGTGGAAGCACAATTTCTTCTGAAGAATAAATCAGGTTCTTTTGGGACTAAGTGATGGGAATTATGGAGGGAAATAACTGCTTTTCAGAAGCAATGTCCCATATAAAAAGCAAAAGGTTGAAAAGTCCAAGAATCACCCTTGTTTTTCTTGTGGACTCCTGGAAGTCATATTTGTGGGTATAAATGAGATCATTTGGCCTAATTAGTTCCAAGCTTAATTAGCAGCAATTATCCCAACATGGGAGTAATACCCAAGTAGGAAGTACTGAGTCCTCGATTAGATAGATCTCTAATTGGTGTTACAATATTGTAATTAAAGCCAGCTTATACGCCTCTGCCTCCGCAAGCGATTTGTTTTATGTCTGATTAAACAGGGAGTCCAGCAGCCTCAAGGAGACCATTGAGCAACTGATTCAGAAGATTGCTATCCCTTGTTGTATGTGTGTGTATGATGAAATCTATCTGTAGAAGTGGTCCAAGCCAAATTAATATGTTCTGCAACTCCTCTAGAATTAATGAAGTTGCAGTAGGGGCCAATTCCGCCTAGAGTGTATGACCTCTATATAATGCACATTAAAAGTATGCACGCATTTGAATGTGTACTTTGGCAATTACATACTCGGCTGACTGCAGGTTAACATCTGCATCTGTGATCAGCAGATGCAGGACCAAGTGTAGTTGACTGCCATATGATCTGGCATTTGTTTCTTCCCATTTATGATTCCCCCCCCCCCCCGCAAAGGTATCCATGCATCCCGCTATTCAAGTTCTCCTAACAAATAGATTTGGAAGTGTAGTTACCTGTTGTGAACTTGTGACACAGTTTTGTTTTCTCCTGAGTATAGTTAATCCTAGGCATAATAATAATAATAATAATAATAATAATAATAACAGTAGTAGTAGTTTATACCCTGCTCACCTGGCTCGGTTTCCCTAGCCACTCTGGGCGGCTTCCAACAAAATATTATAATACAATAGTCTATTAAACATTAAAAGCTTCCCTAAGCAGGTTACTGGGTGGTGGTGGTGGGGTACATACAGTAAATTTGACTTATTTTGGTTTCCAGCCATTATCTGTAATCTCTCCAAACCGCCTTTGCCCTGTCCATGGACATCCATTGAAAACTTGTGGGAAAGGAAAGGGTTCTGCCTCCAACTTGCACCAAGCTGAGAGACAATCAGAGCAGAAAGAATTTGTCTTCTGAGTGTACCAAAACACAATACAACATGAGTGAATGCTCTTTCCCCAAGTTCCATAGGCGTTGTGGGCAAACAAAAGATTTATTTGTCGAGCATTTCTTTGCCCAGTGTGAACATAGGAAGCTACATGTCCACCTAGCTCAGTACTGTCTATACGATAAGCTTACCAAAAAAAATTCAGTGAATCTGGGGACACTTTTCAACTTCCTAATAAATACAGTGGTACCTCGGGTTAAGTACTTAATTCGTTCCGGAGGTCCATTCTTAACCTGAAACTGTTCTTAACCTGAAGCACCACTTAAGCTAACGGTGCCTCCTGCTGCCGCTGCGCCGCCGAAACACGATTTCTGTTCTCATTCTGAAGCAAAGTTCTTAACCTGAAGCACTATTTCTGGGTTAGCGGAGTCTGTAACCTGAAGTGTATGTAACCTGAAGCGTATGTAACCTGAGGTACCACTGTAGATTGATTTTGCATGGGGACTAATTTTGTAAATCCGGGGACTGTCCCCGGGAAACGGGGACGTTTGCTAACCTTACTATAAGTGGCTTTCCAGAGTTTCAGACAGGGAGTCTTGTCTCAGCCCTGTGTGGAGAAGCTGCTGTTTGAACCTTCAAAATGCAAAGCAGATGTTCTAATACTGAGCTATGACTCTTCCAGGGTCTGTTTTCTTCACTGGACACAAAAGGTGAGAGGAAGGACCTCATATGCGATGTTCACCTACAAATATGCATCACCAAAAAGAGATTCCAGGTTGCACGTGGTGACCTGGCAACTGAATCATAGAATCATAGAGTTGGAAGAGACCACAAGGGCCATCGAGTCCAACCCCCTGCCAAGCAGGAAACACCATCAAAGCACTCCTTACATATGGTTGTCAAGCCTCTGCTTAAAGACCTCCAAAGAAGGAGACTCCACCACACCCCTTGGCAGCAAATTCCACTGTCGAACAGCTCTTACTGTCAGGAAGTTCTTCCTAATGTTTAGGTGGAATCTTCTTTCTTGTAGTTTGGATCCATTGCTCCGTGTCCGCTTCTCTGGAGCAGCAGAAAACAACCTTTCTCCCTCCTCTATGTGACATCCTTTTATATATTTGAACATGGCTATCATATCACCCCTTAACCTCCTCTTCTCCAGGCTAAACATGCCCAGCTCCTTAGCCGTTCCTCATAAGGCATCGTTTCCAGGCCTTTGACCATTTTGGTTGCCCTCCTCTGGACACGTTCCAGTTTGTCAGTGTCCTTCTTGAATTGTGGTGCCCAGAACTGGACACAGTACTCCAGGTGAGGTCTGACCAGAGCAGAATACAGTGGCACTATTACTTCCCTTGATCTAGATGCTATACTCCTATTGATGCAGCCCAGAATTGCATTGGCTTTTTTAGCTGCCGCGTCACACTGTTGGCTCATGTCAAGTTTGTGGTCAACCAAGACTCCTAGATCCTTTTCACATGTACTGCTCTCAAGCCAGGTGTCACCCATCTTGTATTTGTGCCTCTCATTTTTTTTGCCCAAGTGCAATACTTTACATTTCTCCCTGTTAAAATTCATCTTGTTTGTTTTTGCCCAGTTCTCTAATCTCTAAGGTCGTTTTGAAGTGTGATCCTGTCCTCTGGGGTGTTAACCACCCCTCTCGGTTTGGTGTCATCTGCAAATTTGATCAGGATGCCCTTGAGTCCCTCATCCAAGTCGTTGATAAAGATGTTGAATAAGACCGGGCCCAAGACAGAACCCTGTGGCACCCCACTAGTCACTCTTCTCCAGGATGAAGAGGAACCATTGATGAGCACCCTTTGGGTTCGGTCAGTCAGCCAGTTACAAATCCACTGAGTGGTAGCATAGTCAAGACCGCATTTTACCAGCTTCTTTACAAGAATATCATGGGGCACCTTGTCAAATGCCTTGCTGAAATCAAGGTAGGCTACATCCACTGCGTTCCCTGCATCTATTGAGTCCTGGTTGACATCGCTGTCTGTCTGTCTGTCTTTTAAGTTTAAGCAAATGTGATAAGCTTAGGTTTTAGGCAGTATTCATAATCAGTGGGAAAACATTGAAACCTCCCAGGAAACTCTGTGATTGACCTTGAGTGGGCTATTCAAAAGACTTTTAAAAAAAGAAAGAATGTAGTATGAAAACAGTTTAATGCCGTCACTTGCAGGCTAAAGTGGGACAAAGGGTTTTTATCATTCCGTGTTATTTTGCTTACCAATACCAGTATATCTGTGCAATCTGTGACTGTTTCTTTCTCATTCTTTCCTGCCCCACTGCAACTGTTAATAGATTGCTCATCTCCAGTCTGCTCCTGTAAAAGGATTAAAGGTGTGTTTATCTAACCTACTGGTTAAGATCTAATTATCACTGGCTGTAATATTTGCATTTCATTGCCATTCAATTTGCACCTTACGATTTCCGCCTTTATGTACCTGCAAATTAAAATTTCACTTCCTGTATTTGGTGAAGTGGATTTGAGTCCACAAAAGCTTAGGTTATAATAAATGTTATTGTTTTTGCCACAAGAGACCAAAGCAGCTGCTCATCTTGAAATGCTTTCCATGTTCTAGAACTCCAAAGAAAACATCACCTGTTGAATTATAGACTGTCGTGAATCAGTTAACGTGCAGAGATTCTTGGAGCTGGGGCAAGAGACTGAGGGGAGAGAATCTAAATAATGCATAGTATGACTTCATTTGAAAGCAATTAATAAACATACCAAAAGCCATTGTCTATTCAGAATTGTTTTCTTTGCTCATTTGTTAATTCGGACCTCTCATTTTCAAAGGCAACTTTTTGAATGAGATATTTCCATGCAGTTTTTGAAATGAATTAAATTTTGGAATATTCAGAATATTCTGGCGGATGTTGTTTCCATTTAAAAAAGGATTTTATTTTTTGGTTTAAAAAAGCATTTGTACAGCACCCTCTTGGCAAAACAAGATAAAAACATTTAAAGTCAATTTGAGAAATCTTTGAATGCACAATTTCAGATGTAACCTTTGTGTTAAACAAAGACGAGGGCAGCAACTCAGTTCATGTAATATTCAGATTGCAATTTGCCCTGCCTTTCAGGGTGAGTTATAGAAAGCATCACATTGTTTTGTTCTAATAGCCCTATGTGGAGTACAGCTTGCCCTGGTGGTTCTCAGATGATACAGCCCCACTGCATTCCATTGCCTTGTCATATTGCAGCCTGCAACTTAGCCGTCAGACTTAATGGTTTTGTGGCAGCTGTGCTGCTTCACACTTGGGGGCGGGGGGAGAGAAAACAAAAAAACTCCACAGCTAGATTGCTACACCAGCCTTCAGTCAAGAACTGCAAATGAATGTATTGATAAATCGAGAGCAAAATTTAC